AATATAGCAAATGTCTATGGGCTAGCTTTCTGTAGGAAAACTACAGAATGCCCACGTTTTGTAATTTCAGAGGAAATCAGGCACTCGGCCCTCCTGAGGCAGACCAGCAAGCCAGTTCTCTTCCTGGACCTCTGCCGTTCCAGCCCTGTAGAGACCTGCCTCCCTCGTCTAGGTGCTGAGCACATAGTTCTTCCCCTTGAGCAGGTCCTGGAAAGCAGGATTGGGCTGGGCAGGTGGGTCCAAGGCCAGATAGAGATGAGTGCTTTAGCCTGTCTCCCCTGGACTTGGTAAGGGAAGCCCTGCAAGGAGGCTCCTGTGATCCTGGAAAGGAGTTCCACTGTTGCTGGTGTAGCCGCTGCAGACTGTTCCCTGTGCCCTGCTTCCCCAAACCAGGCCAATGAGATCCAGCTCCACCATCTTCTGTCTGGCTCTCGGGACACAACCCAGTGTTCCCCAGCAGTGTCCAGTATGTTCTGGAGGTCTGGCTTTGTACTCACTGAGGTGGTCTAACTGCCCTCTATGGGAGAGGGCATCTCCCTAACCCCCTACAGAGCTGTTCCGCCCTGGATTCTAGTGCTTGCCAGATGCCCTCTGACTCAAGATGTTGGGCTTGATTGAGATTCTAGGTGACAGACCCACTCATCGTTTATTTATAATGATTAACAGTAGGACACCATTTTCCTTATATTCTAGTTTTTACCACAATCACTGCCTACGGGAATAGTTGCAAGGATGTCATAATACCTGCTATGCTTCCCCTCTCCACCTGGAGGCATTCCCACCCCGCCTTTGCTGCCAGAGGGAGCAGTTTTGTGACTGGGATACTGTGAGCAAAGGAATTTGCACCCTAATTGGACCTTAAGGCAGGTTATAGTCCAGCTCTGTCATTGCCTTGCTGCCTGAGGATTAAAGAGAGGAGTCGCTCATCATTTCTCTATCTGGAAAATGGGGCTAGTAACTACCTGCTACACACCCTCGGCCCCCTTAGTAGGCTGAGTAACACAAACTCACTCGGACACTAGCCGGTGACTGCACAGCCCTGGTTATGGCTGGGGGAGCTTTTGAAAAATACAGATGCCTGAGCCCCACCCGAGAACTATTGGAGCAGAACTAGGGTGTGGTTGGGCCTGTGCAGTCTTCTTATTTTTTCCCAAAGGAGGGAAAAATGTTAATTTTTAAATTGAGATATAATTCACATATAATAGAATTCATGCTTTCAAAGTGTACAATTCAGTGGCTTTTAGTATATTCACAGGGTTGTGCAACCAACACTGCTATATAATTCCAGAACATTTTCATCACCCCAAAAAGAAACTCCTACCGGGCCGGCCCCGTGGCTTAGTGGTTAAGTGCACATGCTCCGCTGCTGGCGGTCCGGGTTCAGATTCTGGGCGCGCACCGACACACCGCTTCTCCAGCCATGCTGGAGCCACGTCCCACATACAGCAACTAGAAGGGTGTGCAACTATGGCATACAACTATCTACTGGGGCTTTGGGGAATTAAAAAAAAACAACAAAAAAAGGAGGATTGGCAATAGATGTTGGCTCAGAGCCAGTCTTCCTCAGCAAAAAGAGGAGGATTAGCATGGATGTTAGCTCAGGGCTGATCTTCCTCACAAAAAAAAAAAAGAAAGAAAGAAACTCCTACCCATGAACAGTCACTCGCTATTCCTTCCTTCCCCCAGTCCCTGGCAACCACTAATCTGCTGAATAGAATCATACAATATGTGAGAGATGTTGATTTCTAAAAGTCTCAGAGATAGTTCTAATGTGGGTATGTATTTGAGGGAGAGACTGTATTCTGAAGCCAGTGAACATGGTCAGATGAGCATTGCTTTTTGTGCAGCAGTGCCTTCTCCCATTGGACTGGATGGGTGGGCCGTTTACCTGAAGAAACACACCCCCAAGGCTCTCTGATGGGTGTCGTGAGGGATACGGAGACAGGCATGGCTCCCGCCCTCAAAATGTGTATGATCCAGTCAGGGAGCAAAGGAAGACCATCTGCTTTCCTTTCCCTCACTCCCCTCCCACCATGTCTGAGGGCATTTATTAGTGCTGCTCTTGTCCCTGCAGTGGACCTCTGTGGTTCAGACAGCCACCTTCTCCTTGGGGAGGGGTGTATGTGAGCTCTGGATCAGGGGTTCATTGGGCATCTTTCCTGCAGGTGGCGGGAGATGTTTTTTAAAGTGAAGAAAACAGTTGGGGAAGCTCCGGATGAGCCGACCAGCGCCTACCTGGCTGACACCACTCATACCTCCTTGTACTTGGTGAGGCTCCTGGGGTGGGAGTAGACCTGGGGAAAGGAGCAGAAACAACTTCTGGAAACTAAAGCTTCCTCCCACCTTTCATAGGTGGGTGCTACCCTGAGCCGTGTTCCAAGGCTCCCTTCAGAAGAATCCACTCCCTGGAGCAGCTTGTCTCCTCCGGGCCTGGAGGCCTTGGTGACTGAGCTCTGTGCTGCCCTGAAGCCTCGCCTCCAGCCAGGGTGAGTGAGGCCACAGCCTCAGGGTGTGAGAAAAGCCTGCTCTGCTCGGAACATCCCTAGAGGGGCAGTAGGCCAGACAAGTAGTCTAATGTCCTGGCCGGAGTGGGATTGAGTGGACTTGCCTCAAACCAGTATGCCCAGGCTACTAGCCCGTGTCCATGCTGTAAGCAAATTCCCGGGCTCCTTTCCTGGGATAACCTCCATCCTCCAAGGTCAGCTATGGAGGAAGAATCCCCACTAGGCACTGCTGTCTCTAAGACTGCTCTTCCCCTTGGGGAGCCCACCAGCTATCCTGGCCCTCACCACCCTGGCCCTGAAAGACACAGCTCCTCAAACCACTGGCCTAAGTGTAGACACAGACCCCTGCCTAATTCCTGCCAGTATACTCAAAACCAGACATAACAGTCAAGGCTTTATTGAAGGCAGCGATGACAAAAGGGAATAAGTCCCTGCCCTGCCAGAGCACCACAGGCGGTGTGGGAAATACGGCCTCACCATGTGGAGACAGCCCTAGGGGAGAGGGGGTGTCTTGGAGAGAAAAACAGGGTGTCTGCTTTCTAGATCCAAGGGTCACCGTGTTACTGGGGACTCTCAAGTGTGAGCAGAATAGAGGAGACAGTGTCCGTTCTCTGGTTGCAGGGGTGCCCTGCTGACAGGAACTAGCAGTGTCCTTCTACGGGGCCCCCCGGGCAGTGGGAAGACCACAGCAGTCGCTGCAGCCTGCAGCCGCCTTGGGCTCCACTTACTGAAGGTGAGGGTTCGTGGAGAGTAGAACCCCAACTGTGTCTCCTCCCCAGCCCAGATGTTCCCTCTCTCCCTCTCCCCTCTGCCTACTAGCCTGGCCCTAACATCTCACTCCAGTGGGCCAGTGGGTCAGGCATGTTCCCATGATGCTCAGCTACTGAGAGATGCTTTCAAGAAGGAAGAGGTTTCGGGATTTTGGTAGACCAGGGGATGAGGTTAGGGCAAAGAAGAGGTAGGACTTGGCCAATGTTACCTTCTTCCCCCCAATTCCGCCATCCCTGCCGTCTAGAAGGAGATGGCTGCATCTTCTGAACACTCGCCTCCCCACCCCCACCCTGATTCTCCTGCCCCAGCCACGTCTGCCACTTGCTCACAGACCCTCCGGGACCACCCCCATCCAGGTGCCCTGCTCTAGCCTCTGTGCAGACAGCAGTGGGGCTGTGGAGACAAAACTGCAGGCCACCTTCTCCCGGGCCCGGCGCTGCCGGCCTGTGGTTCTGTTGCTGACAGCCGTGGACCTTCTGGGCCGGGACCGTGACGGGCTAGGTGAGGACGCCCGTGTGGTGGCCACGCTGCGTCACCTCCTCCTCAATGAGGACCCCTTCACCAGGTATTCTACGGAGCTGGGCCTGAAAGGGGGTGGGCCCAGCCCCTCTCCCTCTCCCTCTCCTCAGCCTTTTGTCCTCTCTTCCTCACCGCCTCAATGGCTTCTCAGACATCTACTGCCCATTCGGCTGCCTTCCAGACAGCCCCGAGCTGAGGAGCTAGGGGTATCCAGAGGGAAGAGGATGCAGTCCCCAGTGTTTCTTGGGGAACACTGGGTTGGAGAAAAAGCACAGCCTCTGCCCTCAGTGAGCATAGGGCCCCCTCTCAAGGTATTCCCACCCCATCCAGGAAGCTTTGGGGTGCTCATCTCCCTGTCCCATCCCAGCACCCACCCACCTCCCTGCCCTCCTGCACCAGCTTTGGGACAAGGCAGTGCTCAGGGGCTGCCAGCCACGATCTCGCCCTTAGTGCCCACTCCCTGTCTGCAGCTGCCCTCCCCTGATGGTTGTGGCCACCACAAGCCGTGCTCAGGACCTGCCTGCTGACGTGCAGACAGCGTTTCCTCACGAGCTAGAGATGCCTGTGCTGTCAGAGGGGCAGCGGCTCAGCATCTTGCGGGCCCTCACTGCCCACCTCCCCCTCGGCCAGGAGGTGAACCTGGCACAGCTGGCACGGCGGTGTGCTGTAAGTACCACTCAGTCCTGCCGCCCTGCAAGTGAGGGTAGAAAAGCCTGAGACATTGACAGTGGGCCTCTGCTCAGGCGGAGGGACCAGCCCCCAAGGGTTCCTGCCTACTGTGCCCTGCTCATGTGACCTTCCCTATGGTTCTCTAGGGCTTTGTGGTAGGGGATCTCTATGCCCTTTTGACCCACAGCAGCCGGGCAGCCTGTGCCAGGATCAAGAACTCGGGGTAAGGAAGTTGAGCAGAGCGGGGGGAAGGCAGCAAGAAGAAATATGGATGGGTGGGTGGGGGGCTGGTGAGGAAGGGAGAAGGGAACAGGACCCTGCTGGGGAAGAGGCCTCAGGTCAGGTCCTCCAGAGGCCTCCCTGGGTGTCTCTTTGCAGTTTGGCAGGCGGCTGGAGTGAGGAGGATGAAGGGGAGCTGTGTGCTGCCGGCTTTCCTCTCCTGGCTGAGGACTTCGGGCTGGCACTGGAGCAGCTGCAGACAGCTCACTCCCAGGCCATCGGAGCCCCCAAGGTAGAGACTCCTGGTCCTTGGAGGCAGCACCAGGGCTCCCTCCACCAGCATATCCCCAACTGTGCACTTTCCATCTCCTAGATCCCCTCGGTGTCCTGGCACGACGTGGGCGGGCTGCAGGAGGTGAAGAAGGAGATTCTGGAGACCATTCAGCTCCCTCTAGAGCACCCTGAGCTGCTGAGCCTGGGCCTGAGGCGCTCAGGCCTTCTGCTCCATGGGCCTCCTGGCACTGGGAAGACCCTCCTGGCCAAGGCAGTAGCCACTGAGTGCAGCCTTACCTTCCTCAGGTGGGGAGGGGGCCTAGGAGGGATGGGGGGTGGACTGGGAGCTGCAGCAGGCTCTGGGGAGCAGGAGGGGCTGGCGAGAGGTCATCATGTGTTTATGTGTCTGACAAGTCTCACCCTCTCACATCCCCTCCCTCAGCGTGAAGGGGCCTGAGCTCATCAACATGTACGTGGGCCAGAGCGAGGAGAATGTACGGGAAGGTGAGTGGGGAGGGGCAGGGCTTCCAGCGCTTCTGACACCCCAATGGCCCCTGTGCCACGCCCCGCCCTCGGGCTGCTCACGGTCCTGCCTAGTCCTCCTTACCACTGTCACGTTCCTGCCCACTGGGGCCTGGTAGCTGGAGTGCTAGTGATGAGTTGTCAAACCTGGGTTTTCTCCCCTGTCTCCTGACTTACTCCACCCTGAGCTTCCCCCTCCTATGGGCCCCTCTCTCTCCTCAGTGTTTGCCAGGGCCAGGGCTGCGGCTCCATGCATTATCTTCTTTGATGAGCTGGACTCCTTGGCCCCGAGCCGGGGGCGAAGTGGAGACTCTGGAGGTGTGATGGACAGGTGGGGGTCTGAGCCAGAATGGAGTCTGGGGTGCAGGACAGAGTGAGGTGAGACAGGGTGCAGCAGTCTTCAGAGCTCCTTCGGGTTCTGAGATAGTACGATGGAAACTGAAAGGGGCCGTGGAGTTGGGTGTGGGACATTGAAGAGAATGGGGGCCTGCACGGAGGGCTCCACAGGGCACGACTGAGCAGCAGGCCCTGTGGAGGAGGCCTGCAAGGAGAGGCACCACAGGCAGGGCAGAGGCTGAGGATGGGCCAAGGACTCTCTCGCCTTTACTTCCTCCTTGGCAGGGTGGTGTCTCAGCTCCTGGCCGAGCTGGATGGGCTTCACAGCACTCAGGATGTGTTTGTGATTGGAGCCACTAACAGACCAGACCTCCTGGACCCAGCCCTTCTGCGGCCTGGAAGGTAGGCAGCCCGTACCTCTCACCTCTGCCAGGCCCATTTGGGCCTGTCCCTTCACCCCATCCTGTGCCTCCTTCACCTCTCGTGCTGGGCTGACACTTATGCCCACCTGTCTCCCTAAAGGTTTGACAAGCTGGTGTTTGTGGGGGCGAGCGAGGACCGGGCTTCCCAGCTCCGTGTTCTGAGCGCCATCACACGCAAGTATGCCCTGTTAGAGGGAGACTCCAAGGGCTGGGGCTTTGGGATGGTTGGGGGTAAGTGCAACGTGCAGAACAAGCTGGTCAGGGATGCCTTTTGAGGGAGGAGAGATGCCAGGTAAAACTGTTTCTTTCTGTATCCCCACAACAGATTTAAGCTAGAGCCCTCTGTGAGCCTGGTGAACGTGCTGGATCGCTGCCCTCCCCAGCTGACGGGTGCAGACCTCTACTCCCTCTGCTCTGATGCCATGACAGCTGCCCTCAAACGCAAGGTTCGGGACCTGGAGGAAGGTGAGCCACTCGCCAGCCTAGAGGTCAACCAAAAAGCTATTGGGAATCATGCCCAGTTCTGGAGTTCAGAGGAGGGACTGTTAACGTCTGGGGAACTCTGGGCAGGAAGGTACCTCCCCCAGGGCTATCCCCTGCTTGGGCAGAGATCACAACCTGTTCCTCAGCTGGGATGGGGACCCTGACCTCATCTCCCCCGTTGTGACCCCCCCAGGGCTGGAGCCCGGGAGCTCCGCACTGCTGCTCACCATGGAGGACCTGCTGCAGGCCGCTGCCCGGCTGCAGCCCTCGGTGAGCGAGCAGGAACTGCTCCGGTACAAGCGCATCCAGCGCAAGTTTGCTGCCTGCTAGGAGCCTCCTGCAGCCTGGGCCTCCCCACGATGGCTACAGGTACCTAGGGATCCCCACAGAGACCTGAAAGGGCAAAGAGCTCTTTCTCAGGCTGCCGCTGGCCCACCTGAGGGCTGCCTCCCTCCAGGAGATCCCCTGGGTGCCGAGGGGCATCAGGAGCCCTGCGAGAGCTCAAGAGGCATCCCCTGCCCACCTGTCTGTCCTTCCAGGCCAGCCTGGAGTCCAGGGCCCATCTGCTCAGGAGAGGGGTGGGGCCCAGAGTGTGGGGATTGGGCCCAGGGAGGCCTTTCTGTGACGGAAAATAAAGTATATGCTGCCCCCTGGTGGTGCTACAGTCTGAAAGGCTGGAGTGGGGAAGAGCAAGATTGCGGGAGTAAGCCCCGAGGGAGGGAAGGATGGGCACCACAGGAGCCTGTTCCTTCTGACATTTCTGACACAAACACAAGGTATGCGGGCACTGAAGAAGGCACAGACTATATTGTCCACCCTTCTGTTGGCCTGAACTCAAATCCCTGCTCCCCAGCTGCAGTCGGCCTCTTCCCACACCCCCAGGATCTGCACCAGGGGCTGGACTGGGTGTGGGGCTGCTGGTCCCCACCTCCCCAGACAGAGCCCAGCAGTGCCTAGGCAGAGGGTTGTGGGACCTTAGGCCACGCTCAGTCTGTCCTCTTGAGCACGTGGATGAAATAGCAGGGAATGTAGGCCTGGCCCGGCTTGTAAGGCTTGAAGTCACCCAGGACGCCATGCTGGCACTTGCCCCCGAAGGCTGCTCGGAGCAACTCCGTGAAGGGTGCCAGGCAGTGCGGGTAGTAGGAGAGCCGGAACTTACTGCAACAGAGCCCCCGGACCACCATGAGGCCTGGTGGCCTCAGCACCCCCCAGCTCACCCCCTGCCTAGCCAAGTCGTTACCTCAAGTGAGGAGAACTGTCCTGGCCAGCCTCCGGCACCTGCACTGTGTAATCCAGGGTCACCATGTGGGCCTTGTTGTTCACTGTTAGCACTGAGGTCGTGATGTCCTTGGTCAAGTCACTCTGCAGGTGATGGTGCAGGCTGCATTAGCCTCTGCAGCCACTATGGGGCCTGGACCTCAGGCTCACACCTCCCGCTCTGGGCCCTCCCTTCCCCAGTGGCCCCACCTTATAGTAGATGTTCTTCCCTGGGGGTGCACAACCTGTGCTGAGGATGTGATCGTAGTTGCGATGATCGATAACCAGCAGGCCCCCTGAGCGCACCATGCTCGCAATGTTCTTCAGTGCCAGCCGGTGCTCACTCTGGTCTCCTGAGCTCCGGGCAAGGGCAGAGAGGCTACGTCTGCTCAGGGCCCCCAGCACCAGTTTCCCTCCCATCTCTCTCCTCCCCAGCAGTGCCAGTGCCAAGACAGAGAGGGGCAAAGCAGTCTGCTCTGGCAGGAGAGCAGGCATCCAGGGGTCTGGGGACAGGGGTGCAGCTCAAAGCAAGCCATGCCCAAGGCCACACCCTCTCACCTTTGCAGTCCGGCAAGTGGGCAAAACTGTTTCCAAGGCAGATGACAGCATCGAAACCACCCCCTGGAGGCTTGGGCACATCTTTGTCCAGAGTCATCCAGTTGGCTTCTTCGATGACTGGGGGCCAGGAAGAAGGGAGATCAAGGTGGCACCGTGGTACCAGCAACACCCACCTCCACCAAGTGCTGTCCTGCCTCAGTTTCCCCTTCAAGACACACACAGGGACTCCCCATCCAGTGAGGGGGAAGGGATCATTATGGACTTGGAGAGGGAAGGGAGAAGAGGGGTCAAAGGAGGAGGAAGCCATGTTGGGAAGGAGGGCTCTGTGCTTATGGGTTTTTATTTGGGGGGAGGGACAAGATGCTATCAACATAGTTAAAACCAGCCCCTTATAACTGATGCCTCATTCTGGTGCCTAAGCCTCCCTTTTCAGGGAAATGACTAATTTTGCTGTCCCCTTGAGGGAAAAAAACACTCCATCCTAGAAGCTAAAGAGGCCCAGGGCAGAGAGAACCATGTCCTTGGTGGCTGGGCTGGGAGGGCCTGGCTGGACCACATACCCCACTTGTCAAAGGCGGGCTCGTGCCGCCGATTCCAGCGCTCTTTAAGCGCATACTTCAGCATCTTGTCACTGGCGTCCACGCTCATCACGGTGAAGCCCTCTTCCACCAGCATGATGGAGTCCACCCTGGGCAGGGCCAGGGATGAGAGGCGGAGGGGGCAGTCAGGGGCCTGGGAAGGCAAGGAGGAGGCCCTGTGCTGGACACTCAGTCTCCTCAACTCCCCAGAGCCCATTCCTCTGCTTCCTCTCCACTGACCTCGAATGACCTGGCAAATCTGTTTCTTATCACCAGGTAGCAACTTTTTTTTTTTTTTTTTTAGCACTTACTGGAGTCAGGCGCTCTACAAACGTGCGTTAATCCTCATGGTAACCCTGTGAAGTAGATGGTGTTATCCCACTTTAGAGATGGGGCAAACTGAGGCTCCTGGAAGTGAGGTGACCTGTGCACAGGAGGTAGTATGGCATGGTGGTATAGAGCACAGGCCAGACCCTACCTGCCCTGGGTCTGTTTCTTCTCTCCACTAGAGGAGGGTCCTTGACTGTCTGAGGCGGAATTTCCACGCCTGTAAATGGGATATCACCACCCTAACCCTAGCCCTAACCCTCGTGGGATTTTATGAGGATTTTTGAAACGGATGTATCAAAAGCTTCGGGCACAGCACTTGGCAAGAGCAAAAGTGAACAAATGTGAACTGTTACGGCTGCCCAAGACCATCACACAGGAGCAATGTTCGGGCCAGGACCCAGGCTTACATGGTCTGGCCCCAAAGCCCGGCTCTGGCGCTGCCGGGGCGAACCGGCCTCCCCACCGCGCTGTGCCCACGCCCCCCTCTCACCCTGGGCCTCCTCAGCCCCCTCCTCCCGCCAGCCTCGCCCAGGCCCTTGCCCTGCCCGTTCTGCCCGGGCAGACACCCTCTCCCGGCCCTGGCAGCCCGCCTGGCCCAGCTCCAGGCCGGCGAAGGAAGCTGCTCGGATGGGCTCGGCCGTGGTCCTGCGGTCCGGCCCGGGACGAGCCAGACCCCGCTCCCCCGTCCCACTGGCCCCTTCCGGGCTCACCCGGTGCCGCAAGCCACGTCGAGCACCCGCTGGCAGCCGTGCTGACGCAGCAGGCCGATCAGCCAGGCCTTGTACTCGGCCGTGCGGCTGCGGGTGTCCCCGACGTAGAGCTGCCACACGCGCGCCGCCTCGCCGTCCGCGTACTGGTCCGGGAGCCCTTCAGCCGCCACCCCCAGGGAGCGGGTCCGGTACACGCTGTCCACCATCCTGCGACGAGCCTGGCTCCGCGGCGCCCGCTCCGCCTTTATAGGACGGCCCTTCGGAGCCCCGGGGGCCCCACCTGCCCAATGGCAGGTGAGCGCGGGGACACGCCCCCGCTGGGCTCCCGGCCCGGCGCCCGCAATCCTGGACCAGCCCTTCTCCCGGCCTGAAGATTCAGCCCTCTGAACGATCCCATGGCTGGAAAGGACCCTCCCGGCCCCCTGCCCGCTTAACCCAGGTCTCAGGAGAACCGGGGAGGAGCCAGGAGAGCTCGGAGCAGTGAGATTGCCCACTCCACGTCCACTCAAACTGGAAAGAAAGGAAAGAAAACTTCACAGTCCACACAGAGCTGAGGCCCAGGACTGGACCAGTCCCAACGAATGAAGATATTAGCATATCTAAAGAAAGAATGTCCAGCTGAAGGAGGGCCTGGGTCAGCCAGGGAAGGGAGGAATGGGGAGTCTCTGAGGATAATAATGCTGGTCTGGCCATCCAAGTCCAGGACCAGTTCTGGACCAAGGGCTCATCCCACCCACCTGGAGGCAGGTGCTCCTCTGTCCTGTAGGTGACACATCAAGCTTTTCCCTGAGCTGTCCAAGGCAGAGGCTGGTCCTTCCTTCCAACTCCCCACCAACCAATCACCCTTCTAAAGACCATCTGCTTTCCATGGAGGCGCCCACAGGGTGGGAAGTCCAGGGTGAGGGGTGGGAGTGCTTGGTGCAATTATATTGCTCATTGTCACTTCATAAATTGCTCTTTTGGTTTGGTTGGTGTCCATCCACCCTTCCTCCCAAAGCAGAAGGTCTCACCCTAGGACAAAACCCTAGACTGAGGTGGTTTCGGGAGGATGATGCCACCCCAGTGAAGCCCAAAACAGCCAGAGTGGCCTTCCCCATCTGTCTCTCTTCTGGCTTCAGAAAGAGGGAGGTATGGAATTTAGAACAAAGGAGGCTCTCCTCCTCTCACTCCTTTATTGTCTGTAGAATCTGGGAGCTGGAGGAACCCCAAAGATCACATAATCATTCTTTCTATTTGCAGCACACAGACTGCCTCACATGGACCTGTCCATGCCCAAGCAATGGAACCTTGTGCTCACACTGACCCCACAGACAGGTCTTTGGCAACAGGCTTAGAAAGGCACTGTACTGGGGGGGTGCAAGTAGACCCAGAGTTTTCTTTCATCAGAATATTCTGAGGGAAATCCACTCCACCACTCCTAGACTTTGAAAAACATCTCATGTTAAGAGAATTATCCTCTCAGTTGTGGGCAGCAATCTGTGTGCTGTGTCCTTGCATCCAGTCATAATTGTAACCACCTCTCTCTATGGGGTCAGCTGTTTTTATGTATGCGGACTCTGAGAAAATTAGTTTCTTCCTTGGGTAGGAAAATGCATTCTTTACTTAAAATAAACTTGATATTTATTTTACCCTAAATCAGGAGGAGAGTAATTAATTATTTGGCTATAAATTGATGAGTTGAGGGTTAAATTGTTAACTAACAATTTGGTCATATAATAAGTAGTGAAATTTTAAGGAAAAATAGACCTATTAAATAATTTACTTTTGTCATATTGGAGTTCTAAAATTCCCTTAAGAAATTTGGAGAAAAATGAAGGATGATGTTAAATTAGAATAACAACCAAAATGATGGGGAAATGATTTCTTTGTCACTATCTGCAAGTGGATTGGCTGGATATAAAATAGTTGAAAAGTTAAGTGGCTGGACTGAGGCAATTTATTATTTTTTCCCTCACTGTTGCTTTCTTTTTCATTTACTTTTGCCTCTTAACCTTCTCTGAATGCATGTGAGGTAAACCTGGGGGTTTCTTAAGGCTCAAAATGCTGTTGGGAAATGTGACCTTTTTAGAAAGACCAGAAACATCATGTCAACAGGTCATAAGATTTACCAGACTCTGTGGGTCTCAATATTTAAGGACATGTATTCTTGTGATTTTGAATACTTCCTTCTCCTGATATTCATATAAATGATAGTGAACCCTGGGAGAAAAGCATTGATTTGTAAATTGAGACATCTCTGCCCACCCTTTCATTTAGAAATTGCCATTCAAAAGACTCCATCTGGAGCTCTTTGATAAAACTAGCTCCAAAAAAAGTATTTTGATTTTATTCTTTTGTTTCATCTAGAAACAAAACTACCTAGAAAAAAAAGGAAAAAAGTTACCTAGAACAGCTATTTAAATATCTTTTTTTTTTTAATTTGGTGTAACATGATTCCCCAACCTCTCTCCCTAGCAAAATTTTTTTCTTGTCCAGAAACTATTTCAGCTCTTTTTTTTCCTTTCCTGTTTTAAAACAAAGTTTTTGAATTTTTGGCATAATGCACACCTCTGAATGTTTGTATAACATTTTTGTGATTGGTTTGCAGTCTTTAGAGGATAAAGGCCATACTCTACATACTGATAAGGAATTTTATTTAAATATTTGGTTTTTATTTAAATATTGATGCTTGTGATTTGTGAGAAGCAAAATTTTACCCACAGAACCATAATATGAATTTTAAAAATAATATGAATAATGGTGGTAAATTTGGATTAAAAAATTATAGATTGTATGTAGCTTCTAAATGTACTTTCTATTTCAAAGACAAGATTTTTGGTTCTGAAGTTAATAATTATTCGATTTCTATGCCTGTGGCGTAGTGGTTAAGTGCTCACGCTCCGCTGCTGGCGGCCTAGGTTCGGATCCCGGGTGTGCACCAACACACCGCTTGTCAGGCCATGCTGTGGCGGCGTCCCATATAAAATGGAGGAAGGTGGGCACAGATGTTATCCCAGGGCCAGTCTTCCTCAGCAAAAAGAGGAAGATTGGCATGGATGTTAGCTCAGGGCTGATCTTCCTCACCAAAAAAAAAAAAATTTATTCCATTTCTTTCTCATCCAGAGGCATTAAAAAAAATGTCGAGATCATAGTGCACATGAAATTTCATGGACTTTTTTTTTCTTTTTTCCTTTTTTTTTACTTTTAACTGTCAAAAGCACATTTTCTTCTCTTGACCATAAATTACTTGGCCTTAAGCATCTTTTTATTTTATTTATTTATTTTTTTGTGCCCATCCGTGCCCATCTTCCTCCACTTTGTATGGGACACCGCCACAGCATGGCCTGACAAGCGATGAGTCGGTGCGCGCCTGGGATCTGAACCCGGGCTGCCAGCAGCGAAGCGCGAGCACTTAACCGCTACACCACAGGGCCAGCCCCACTTAAGCATCTTTTTAATGGCTACACTGAGTGGATGTGCTGCACCATGTTTAATCATCCCCCAAGTTCTGAACATTTAAAATACTCCCACAATTAAGAGAGTGAACATGTGGATGATTATGATCAAATCATTTTCCAAATGGAATTTTTCTATTAATTGATACCGTCACCCAAAACAAATGTTTCTTTCAACTCTTCTCTACATGAAGATATCATTCATTGACATTTCATTATGTAGAAAATTGTATCTAATTGTTGTAATCATCTTTTGTGTGTGTGTGTGTGAGGAAGATTAGCCCTGAGCTAACATCCATGCCAATCCTCCTCTTTTTGCTGAGGAAGACCGGCCCTGGGCTAACATCTGTGCCCATCTTCCTCTACTTTATATGGGATGCTGCCACAGCATGGCCTGACAAGCGGTGCGTCAGTGTGCACCTGGGATCCGAACCTGGGCCCCCAGCAGCGGAGCGTGCGCACTTAACCACTATGCCATGGGGCGAGCCCTGTCATTGTCTCTAATCACTACCAAAATGTACCAATAATTGCAGTCTTTCATCTCTAAACTGTTTGTCCATGTCCTCTGCCCAAAAAAATATATTGAAACTGCCTTTTGTTTTACTTGATTAGTCCCTATGAATTTTATTTTATTTTTTTTAAGGTTTCTTTTTTTTTATTTATTTATTTTTTCTCCCAAAGCCCCAGTAGATAGTTGTATGTCATAGTTGCACAGCCTTCTAGTTGCTGTTTGTGGGACGCGGCCTCAGCATGGCCAGAGAAGCAGTGTGTCGGTGCGCGCCCGGGATCCGAACCCGGGCTGCCAGCAGTGGGGCGCCAGCACTTAACCGCTAAGCCACGGGGCCGGCCCCGTATGAATTTTAGATAAGCCAAATCTGAGGCCCTGGGCCATGGAAGAGACGGTCATAGACTATAAGTCAATCTACAGTTTGACTTAATTGAAAATAAGAATAGGTGATATTTTTAATATGCAACGTTTATTATTTGGAATTGGCTGAAAAGACTAAATTTTTCATCCCCAAATGTATGATATGTTTGCAAAAAGACTTTAGCATGGGACTCTGGCTGCAGCTGGACAAACTCCAAGGCTATTCCTATTTGAGGACACAGTAAAATGTGTCCTCAAATAGGAATGTGTCCTTAAAATCTAGGATTTTAAAATCCTAGAATTGTGAATTATGTATATACAGCAACTACAAATGGAAGACCTTCTGTTTTTGTTCTGATTCAGAACACGTAGAAACTCATTTTTCAGAGGATAGACGCCAATTTCCAAACTCCAGTCCAAGCTGCTGAAGAAAACTCTGCTTTGCCAACTCCGTCTACCCAGATTGAACACTGGAACACTGTGGGAGGGGCTGAAGCCACCCACCTGCAGGGACTCTGCTAGCAGATTTATCACAATGGATCCCTTTTTGGTCTCTTTAACATACCGTATAAGACTCAATCTGCTTTATTAAAATCCTGTTAAGTGAGCATAAAATTGGTCCCGTATCTGTGGGTTTGGTAACACTAATTAATGGTGGCTACATTACTATTAAGCTTAGTGCACCTATGAGAATTCCACCAACGTGTGAGGAGAGGTTCTCTTTGACCATTTCACACTTTGTTAAAAGCAATTTTAAGGTGTGCTTACTTCCAGTAAGATTTTGTCAGTATATATTGATCTGCTCACTGAGCTGTCTTTCCATGTAAAAATGATACACTAGCTGAGCCCTGGTTACGGGCTAAGTGTTGCTCATTGAAATGGGTGACTTAGCACATGCCATCACATCTTGATGAGATGAAGAGTAAAATACAAGACCACTTTGGTGAGTAATTCCTGATAAAATAACATCTAGTTTTTTGAGTATATTTTTTGTTTTGTTTTCTCATTTAGCAGGGAACCTTTTATATTTTAGGGGGGTTTGGTGGTGATAGGAAGTGTCGCCAGCCCTGGAGCTGGTGATGGGGTCAGCCTGCTTCTCTCCCCTCTCAATGTGCAGCCACACCTCCCTCTACAGAATCACAATCATTTTAATGGAGGTTTAAATTCTGTTGGCTTGTACAACCCTCATAGATGTAGAGTACAATTTTAAAGAAAGAAAACCGTAAAGAGAAGCCAGCCCTTGAGGGCAGCATGGGTCAAGCTGGCTTTAAGCCGTACACGACTGTAAACTTTGAAAAGGGAGAAATGAATGTTAACTCACTCCTAATTGCATTCCCAACATGGAGCTCTGAAGACCTAAATAGACTAGCGGACAGCAGCTGGTCTGCCTTCGAGAAGAGAGAGCCATGTAAGGGGAGGATGGCGAACAAGCCAACAAGCTGTAGCTACAGGGTACTGTGGCATCACGGCTACGCCCCGGGGCACCGAAGCCGTTCCACCTGGGCTTATCACTTGGTTGGGCCACTTAATAACTGTGTGACCTTGGGCACGTTATTTCACCTTTCTGTGCTTCATTCATTCATCTGATATTTGTTGAACAGCTACTCTGTGCCAGGCACTGTACTAGGTGCTGGGGATTCAACACTAAATAGATGAAAATCCCTATTCTTTTGGGGGTGTGTGGAGGGGTGTTTCAGGGGGGATGGTAATAATGTTTCATGACCTGGGTGCTGGTGACAGGTGTTCAGTTTGTAAAAGTTCATTGCGCCGTACACTTACATACGCTTTTCTGTATGTGTATTTTACTTCAATGCAGTTTTTTAAAATCCATGGCTTTGTGATCACAGCTTGAGTTAATTATGTAAAGCAGGTAGAACTCTGCTTGCCACATAGCAAGCATTCGAAAAACAGTGGCTAATATTGTTATACCAGTGAAACTCCTTAATAGAGCAAACTAAGCCATCATGTGATGTTCAAGAGATTCAGCTGGCTCTGCTGCTGGGATTAGTACAGAGTCCTTCCATAGACCAGTTAGGCATGGACCAAGCATCTGTCGCGAAAAATGTGTTTTTTTTCTTTCAAGATCAAAAAAAGAGAGGAATTTTGCTCATGCTTGTGAATTAAAGTGATGCAGGGCTTGCTGTGAACATTTAGAAAAACCTGGGAACCCGGATCCTGCCTTCTGCCTTTCCTAGGCTGGGCAGGGGGAGAAGCTGCCTGCTGCTGTAGGTGGGTGTGTAGAGAGCTAACAGTGTGCAACACGCCTGGCCCTTGCGGGGGCGGCAGGCGGAGGGAGAGGCCATTCATCATGCAGCAGCCACAAGTCAAAGAGCAAAGCAGTCAGAAAGAGCGCTATGTGCCCTCCGGTCCAGGACCAGGCCCGGCACTGGGCCCTGGGCCAACACCCGGGTGAGGGATAGGTCTTTGCCTCATCCTCCTCTAAGGACAATGAGCTCTGGAGACAGACGTATGCCAGGTACTTAAGTGCTGTGGTAACATCAGCGACGGAATTCAGGAGGAAGTAGGAATCAGAGGCTGACCACCAAATCCTAGACAATCCAGGGGGCTGCAAGCGGTTCCCCAGCCCTGGGTTTCAGCCCCTGAACCAAGTCCAGGATGGGACCTGAATCTAGGCTGGAATCTCACTCCATGGCCCCTTCAACAGAGGGCAGGATCAGTCTTGGAGATGGTGAGATGGGAGGCTAGCCAAAAAAATTTCACCCTCCAAGGACCTGTTTTTTTTTTCTTTTTGCTGAGGAAGATTTGCACTGGGCTAACATCTGTGCCAATCTTACTCTACCTCGTATGTGGGACACCGCCACAGTGTGGCTGTCAAGTGGTGTAGGTCCGTGCCCAGGATCCGAACCCACGAACTCAGGCCACTGAAGCGGAGTGCGCTGAACCTAACCACTACGCCACAGGGCCAGGCCCCCTCCAAGGATCTGTTCTAAGCCCCACCAGCTGGAGGAATAAAGCTTCCAGTTTGCTCCACTTTCTATGGCCTTCACTGCCCCAACTTGGGGGAGGGGAATAGGGGGCTAAGCCCAGGCTATGAAGGGGCCCCTCAGCCCCAGTGCAGGCCCCAGAGCCTCTTTAGCAGAAGCTGGAGTCTGGGGCACTTCGGCAGTGCATCCCCTCCCACCCAAGGGGCCAGCCCGTAAGTGTGAGAGGGTCTCAGTGTGGATGCTCACAGGGGACCTGGTGGGGGGAACAGCACTGGTGGGACCTTCCACCATTCTCTCCTTCCAAGCAGTAGCCGCTTCCTATTTTCCTTTTAAAAGAGGCTTGTTGGTGGGCGTGGGTTAAGGCCAAGAAACCAAACCTGGTCAATAAGAATCACAGTGCCAGGTGCTAGGGGAAGGGGCCCTGGCAACTGTGGGGCAGTGGAAACACAATGGCCTTGAGTCCCAAAACCAGAGTCTGGGTGCCAGCTGTACACTTAGAGTAGGACTTTGAGCACGTCACCTGTTTCCTCTCCTCCAGAATGGGGCTAACAGCACCTCCCCCCAGAGTGTGTGGTGAGGTTAAGGCACTGTGAACACAAGCAGTTGTGTCACCATTGCTGTTGACCACTCTGATCCCCGCCCTCAGGACAGACTGGGACGTGTCTCAGCCTCCCACCCCTTCTCCCCAGAGGCCAGCCTTCCTGTTCCTTCCCTGCTCCCATGGAACATGGTGTAACCAGCTGTTGTTGGGGGACCAGGGTGTCCTCCCCTCTGGACTCCAGGCACAAGAGCTAGGAAGAGCAGAGTGATCAGGTATGGTCATCAGGGAACAAGGTTCAAGACCAATAGGCAGGGCCTGGATGGGGGTGGGAAGGAGGGGTGGGAGCAGGTGGGGTCACCAGTAAACATCTTACACAACAAAGGGGAAGGCCTTGGGGGAGAGAAGAGAGGCACGAAGGAGGGAGGGAATGAGGGCAGCCAGGTGCCCAGGGCACAAGTGAAGCCCCTCCCAGCCTGGGGAGCTCCGAGCCAGGGCAGCTGAGGGGTCAAGGCCAGAGCACCACGTGGGCCTCATACCATGCCCATGACCACCCCTCACCCCAAACAACCTGGGCCCTCCCTGCACTCGCTGTTCCCCACAGCTGGCAGGTCCGGGCTCAGGGAGGACGAGACAGCATTCCCAGCCTCAGCCCCCAAGGCTGGAAGGTAAAGGGCAGGGAAGAGCACCAAGGCACTCCAGGCCCCTCTGAGGAGCTGAAGGGGACTCAGAAATCAGAGCAAAAAAAGGCCAAAAGGTTTTTACTCTGTGAGCCCTAGGGAGGGCCAGGCAGAGTGCAAGGTGTCCACAGGAGGGGATGAGCAGAGAGGAGGAGCTGAGGACCTGCAGTCTTGCTTCCCTGTCAGGGAGGAGTCGGGGGAGGTGAAGGCCGGGCACGCCTTCCCCACAGCTTGGAGGGCTCCAGTCCTGGGGCCCAGCTCCGCCACCTGCCCCTCCTGAGTTCACACCGGCGTCCTCGGCAGTCCTGAAATCGCATGGCCTGTCTGAAGCCTGGGTCAGGAGAGACACGCTCGGCAGAGGGTAAGGCCAGCGCGGGCTGACCACAGCTGATCTGAGTCCTGCCCAGGCTCATGTCGCCCCTGTCAGGAGGAGGGCACAGCAGAGGCGGGGAGGCCCCGAGCCCAGGAGAGCCGTCTTTGCCTGCTGGAGCCATGCCCTGGACTCTTCAGCTTCCAGGTCAGGGCTCTTGGGACAGGGGCACTGGGTTAGGCTCAAAGCTCATCAGGGGGGCTGTGTGTGAGGGGGGATGCCTTCTGGATGCCCTCATCCTCCTCGGGGCTGGGGTCTCCTTCGAGGCCCCCTAGCTCCTTCCTCTGTTTGCTGCTGCTGCCTGACGCCTTGGTCCTGCTGCTCTTCTTCTTGGACTTCTTCCCTCCCAGGGCGGCTGTGTCCCCCTTCTTGCCAGACCACTGCTCTGCCAGGCAACCTGGGGTGAGGAAGAGAGCGACCCTCAACAGACTGGTTTGCTGGGTGAGGAGCACTGACTGGGGGGCCACTGGGAGCAACTGGAACTGGTGCCCGACGTCAGCATCCCTCCCTCCTGCCTTGCTGTGGCCCAGGCCCGTCTTGGGTATCCGAGTTATCTGCATGTTATTCTGCACCTGGTTTCAGTGCCTCTTACCCCACCCAGTCCCATCAAGCTCCCTGAGGGCAGATGCTACGATGCCCCCTATTCCCTATTTCTTTTCCATCCTCTCCCTATCCACCTCCCCTGAGGGCAGCAAACAAAATGGAGGGCCGACCCACCCTGCCCTCTCCCTTCCTCAGACTCACTGGTGTCCTTGCCCTTCAGCACGTGGTTGGCGCAGAGGAACTGAGTCAGGTCCTCCTCCTGGTGGTTTCTGTACCAGTCCTCGATCACCTCCTCGAACTCTTCCACCAGCACGTCGCACTATTAATCACAACACCTGGCGTTGGCAAAGCCCCAGCACTGGGCTCCCAGAGCTCAGCGGAGCCTCACGACCCACCGCAAGACAGGCAGGGGCTGCGACTCTCCTGAGGAAACTGAAGCCAGAGAGGCTAAAGGACTTGACCAAAGTCCCCCAGCTCTTCGTGGCCTTCCTCAGCCGCAGACCCGATCCCCACCCACCCTTGTGGGACACAGCAGCCTCTGAGGGCCGCAGGGCCCGTACCTGCTTCTTGAGGTCAGCCACTTCTGCAGAGGTCTCGTTCCACAGCTCGTAGGGGATGTCCATCACCACCTTGACCCCTTTGTGCACCAGGTTGTGCAGCGTCTCAAAGGTCTCTGACATGCCCTGGAAGAGGCAACCAGATGTGAGACCCAGAGATCCTTTTCCGCCTTCACCCTCCTCTCCCGGTGGGGTTGGAGGCCCAAGGACCTTGCTCTGAGTCAAGACCCTCAAAGGCTCTTCACACTTGACCTCATCTTCCTCTCCCCTCTTTTAGGCCTGCCTCTCACCATCCCTACACACACACACAGACACACACACACCTGTGCTGCCTCCCCACACCTCATCCTTTCAAAAAGGTCTGCCGTTGCCCTTTCAACATATAGTCCTTTTCCAGGACATAAGTTTGTCTGGGCTCTCTCCCCTCACTGCGGCTGGGCACACTCACCCCCCGTATCCAGGCCCACTCCCTGCTTTGGGGTTCTCTCTAGGGCTTGTGTCTTTCCTTGGTGGGAAGAGGGCACAGGCAAGGCAGGGAAGACGCTTTGTTCTGTAAAAAATATTTCTGCCAGCTTCCTAGCTCTTCTCCCCGGAGACAACATAGTATTTATTTCCTCTATCTTTCCAGAGATAATGCATACATGTACAAGCAAATATACATACAAATATATCCTCCTCTCCTCCACCTCTGCTTTTCACACAAGCAGTAGTATATTTCATATACGCTATTCTGCACCTTGCCTTTTTTACTTAATAATATACCTTGGAGATCATTTTAGTTCAGTCTGTAAAGAGCCACCACATTCTTTGTTTTACAGTCGCATAACAGTCCACTGAATGGCCATGTCCATCTATTCAACTGCTCCCTACTGGTGAATGGTTAGGTTGTTTCTAGTTTTTTTGCTATGGAAAATAATTTTAAACATTTTTACATTAAAGCAAACATGGATTTATTACCAAGTACAAAATTCATACAAATTTGAAAAATAAAACCTAAGACTTCTGCTGCTTGAGAATATCCCCCTAGGTTTCCCAGGGGCTTCTGACTGATCTCCTTTGCTAGAAGGGCACTTAGGTGGAGAAATGTGGGAGGCAACTGTCTTAGAATGCGCCAGGCACTGAAGATGTAGAGACCAAGAAATATGGGCCTTGTTGTGAGAAGCTCCTTCTCCAGGGAGAGAAGCATTCGTGCACACAGTAAGGGCCTTAAATGCCACACAGGCAGCCTGATGGAGGTCCAGGTAGGTGCCCTGTGGGCTCAGAGGAAAGACAGGGCAATCACCACCCCCCAAAAGTCTTCTGCTACCTCCTCTAAACCCCCCCAGTTCTGTACATCCTGAGTTCTCCCTGCACAAGTGCTTAGGCCTCCACGGGGGCTGCCACCCTGGAGCACTGCTGTCTAAGGCTGAGGCAGGACCCTGATGGGCAGGCCCTGGCCATTATAAATGTCCCGATTGCCACAGAAAAGTCAGATCACTCAGGAGGGGAGGAGTGCAGATAGCAATCGAGAAAGAAAGGAAGAGGCCAAGGAAGGAAGCTCCCAGGGCTGGTCTTCAAATCACAGCCGTACCAGCAGACACGCTTAGATACATGCAGGCCCGGCCCCAGCAGGGATGAAGGACAAGCAGAATCCAACCTTGGCAAACCGGTTGCTGCCGGTCCTCTCCTTGTGCAGGCTATAGTCCAGGAGCCTCTTGCAAATGGTCTCGGTGACTTCGATTAACCGTAAGTCCCTGCCGAGACAGCAGCACGAGAGGTCCTGAGTTCCCCTCCTAGCCCCAGTGGGTTAGTGGTCCGTCCCTCCAGCCCTGCTACCCCAACATCTGCGCATCTCACCAACGGGAAGTCAGAGCTGGAAGGAAGATAGGTCATCTGGTCTGGGGGCTCTGAAATGCTGGAACACAGACCAGAGAGACAAAATTTTAACGGCTCTATGGGAAGGAATTTTTTTAATAAAGCTAAATAATTCAGTATCCTGATTTTTTAATAAAGCAAAGTACATTAAATTTTTATGTTAAAATATCATTTTACTTTGAAAGGATGGTCATAGCTGATGGATGTATTTGTTGGTTTGTTTTTAATATTTATACTTTGCAAAATTAAAACTCGGTAAGCCTATGTTACTAGTATTTTTAAAAATTGCATTGGTCCATGAAATCCAAGAGTCTGGGAATCAGTGATAAGGTCCAACAGTCTTGCTTTTACAGATGAGGCATCTGAAGCCCAGAGGAGTTAAGGGATTTATGAAGGCCACACAATTAGCTGCGGGTAGAACCAGTGGGCAAACTTAGGTCTCAGTTAGAGCTGCCTCCCTTTGGTGGGTTTGCCTAGCTGGAAGGGAGAAGGGAACTCCAAGCCGCTGAAGCTTTGAAGAACAAAGCAGGCCCGGCCAGTGGGGCCCCCATTCACTTACGACTTGGTGTATTTGACTCCGGAGGCCTTCCGGTCCAGGATGCCATAGCCAGTGTCAATCACCTCCTTGGTCTTGCCAGTTTCCTCAAAGGCTGACTTCAGCTCCACAGCGACATATTTACACACTGGGGGAGGGAGACACAGCACAGCCTACTGAGTGCACATGAGTCTTTGATGGGAGCCAGCTCCCAGCAAAACAGGCTCAAGCAGCCGCCTCTCCTAGAGTGGGTCAACACCTGGGGCAGGGAAGGAGTTAGCAGCAGACCACCAGTGGAGTTCACTGGGTGAAACCTGGCTCCAAGATGCACTCTTGGCCCTTATCCTACTGACATCATTTCTCCCAGCTCCTTCCTGTCCCCGCCCCCTGTAATCATTTTACTTTTAAAATTTTCAAACATATAAAAAAGCTGAAAGAGTACAATGAATAACTATATATCTTCCACTCATATTCAACAGCTGTTAATAATTTACCACAATCTCTCTCCAATGCACAAAGTAATGGGACAATACGATAATATATCTCAACAACATATACATTGTTTTTGCTAAACCATTTTGAAAGTCGCAGACATCATGACCTGTCACCCCTAAACATGTCATCAGGCAGCTTCGGAGAACAAGGACCTTCTCCTACCTAACCATAAAACAATTATGATACCCGGAAAATTAACAATAATTCCAGTATCATCCAATACTCAGTCCATGTTCAAATTTCCCCACTTGTCCCCAAAATATCTTTTATGACCGTTTTATTACTTGATTTCACATGTTGTTCCAACACCAGCTCTCTATTCCTACCATGTTAATTTGCTCCATCCCCTCCAGAAGCCTTGTTTCTGCTGTTTCTGGACATTTATTTTCTCATTTCCTCTTACTCTTCCTCTAACAGTTATTAAGCGACTCCTGTATGTCAGGCACTGCCTGGCATACAGAGACGAAAACAAGGTCCCCCCTTCTGGATATTCAGTCTAATAGAGCAGAAAGAAGGGTAAACAAATAATTACCACTGGTAAGGAGTGCTACCGATGAAAGTGTGAAGTACCTGAGGCCTTAGGAAAGTGCTTTACGCCCTCTAGGGGCTGTGGGGCTTTTCTGCCCATTCTTCCAATCTCACCTTAAAACCTCCTCCCCCAGGAAGCCCTCTGGACTAATCCCACCTGCTCTTGATTTCATTCCTGGACTCTGCAGGATCCATGCTCTCACTAAGGGCCTTCGGTCACCTCATGTGTCTCTCCAATTATTTTTTATTTTTATTATTTTTTAAAGATTTTATTTATTTTATTTTTTGCCCCCAAAGCCCCAGTAGATAGTTGTATGCCATAGCTGCACACCCTTCTAGTTGCTGTATGTGGGACTCGGCCTCAGGATGGACAGAGAAGTGGTGCCTCGATGCGCACCCGGGATCCGAACCCGGGCCGCCAGCATCGCAGCGAGCGCACTTAACCACCAAGCCACAGGGCCGGCCCTGTCTCTCCAATTAGACTCCAAGGATACCCAAAACGAGTATCATGTACTGGAATTTTCCTGTATTCCTCTAGTCTGGGACTTTGTATGTGTTGGATACTTGATATTTTGCTGAGAGAGACTGTGTTTGTGGTTGAACAGCTTCTGATGCCTCTGAGTGGAATATGGTTTGCAAGCTAAATGCCATCAGCGTTGTTATAACATTGACAGTAGAGTCTGGTAGAAAACCAATTTACCACCAAAACAAATACATCCCCTGGGGACTTGCTTGGTGACCTTTTATAACATATACATTAATGGATGGCTTGGAGAACTTGGAACACAGAAAAATCCAAAATATAAGCTCGTGATCTCAGATCTGCAATGAATTGAGGGTGTCTCACCTCCCTGGCTCTCGATCCAGAACTATCTGAGCTCCTTCCCCTCTTTTGTCCTGTACTCTGCGCAAGCTCATCATTTTTCTGGCTTCTTTACCCCCTTCTCCCATGCCCGCAATATGCAGTATTCCAGGCCTGGGGGGCTGGAACTCATCAACCCATCTCTCTTACACCCATCAACCACAACCTTGCTTCCCAACTCTTCCAAACCTTCCCTCTTCAAGACCCCCTCTGGGGATCCCACCCAGAACCAGACTTGGAGGAGACTTGGCACAGACCCCAGACCCTCATGGACATCCACCCACTCTTTTTCTGGGCAGGTTCTCCTTCCTCTGTGCCAACGCCTGTCCCATCCAGGCTACTGAGCCAGGAGGCAGGCTTTATGGGCCAGACACAGTCAGCATTTAATAACAAAGGTATAACAAGGATAAATAAAGTAAATACACTACTAAGAGGACCCTAAGGGTTGGAGTTTGCCAAGCCATCCTGTGACTGGAAATCCCCTTTAAATTAATCTTTATCAATAACCTACAAAATGAGGTTGGACTAGAATGATCTCTAAGATCCTTGCTGGTTCTATGCTTCCATGAGTCCGTGAACGCCTCCTAAGGAAAAGAAACGTGAGCTTCTTAGGTCATGAGAATAATAAGAGGAACAGTAGGGGCTCTTTGGTATCAGAATAAAATAGAAAACGAAGAGAAGAGGAGGTGAAACCCCCAAAGAATATGGGTAAGGACCAGAATAGGAGTGAAAGGAGAGCATCATAACCCTCTGACGGTCTATTCAAGGCAGTGAGGGAGAAGGTGCAGGGGGGAACCCATGCTGGGAGCCCTACCAGTCAGTCGACTCATCTCTGAAGCATCTCCCCTTTAATCTCTCACATGGAAGGATTATGTGTCCTAAGCCTCCCCACCCCACTTCCCAGTGCTTAGGGAACAGCTGGCCTGCTGTAGGCTTTGAATTGGGATGAAATACATTTATCGCCAACTTTCTGGGGGGCCTGGGGCTAGGGAGGTGGGAAGGATGGAGTGGCTGTAAATGCCTAAGGAGAAAACTGAGGAATGGGGGGGAGGAAGAAGAGGCAGGCCCTTCACAGTCCTGGCTCACTGGTTCGTGTGCTGGCACTCCCCCCTCTCTCTGAAGTTCCACATCTCCACCCCTATGTCTTTGGCATTCACTCTTTCTCCATATTCCTAAAATCTTCCTCCCTCAGGCTCTATTCTTCTCCCAAAGCGACCCCTTAGGCCTCAGACCCTCCTCCTACGGCTACATACACCCACAGCCCCCTGTTTATTCTTATTTATTCCAAAAACATCTATTGGGCACTGCGTGAATAAATATCTGAGACAAGGTCCCTGCCCTCAGGAGCTCACAGCCAGTGGGGAAGACAGCCAACTACACAAATGAGGCTGCAGTGCGGCCACAAACGGGACAGTCTCAGGCTCTCCTTCCCCCAAGACCAGTCATACGCATCTTTTCAGTTCCTCAAACTTGTCCTTTCTTCTTAGCCTGCAGGCCTCTGCCTCTGGTTTCCTGAGTGGCACTCTCTCTTCTCTCTTCTCTTCACTCCGCTAACTCCTAATTACTCTTCGGGCTGCTTACAGGAAGCCTTTCCTGACTTCCCTCTACACACAGCCTTTCTCTCATCGCTAGGATAGATTAGATGCTCCTCACCTGGTCCCCAAAGCCCCGTACCTCCTCTACCACGGCATCTACTACCCTGGATTACAACTGTTTGTTTTTATCGATTCGTGAGCTCACACATGCAGCGAGATCTGCTCTCTTGCGCGCCCCTGTGTCCCCAGTGCCAGGCACACAGTGGGTTCAATGAATGAAGAGACTCGCTCAGGAGCCCAGGACCTTCCATCCCCTGACCCTTCTCCACAAGCTCCGCCCTCCGGCAGATACTCCCCGCGGGCCCCGGCCCCTCACCTTCGCATTTGCTGGGCAAGCGAACCCAGTCGGTCTCCTCGGCTTGGGCCTGGCTCGGGCCCAGCTCCGGTGCCGGCTGTAGCAGCAGCAGGGGAAGAAGCAGAAGACAGCGAGGCCCGAGCCGGGGCGCGAGCTCAGGCAACGGCTCCATAGCCCAGCCGGACCCGACCCGAGCGGACCGCGCTGCGCTTCCTCCGGCGGCGCGCTGGGCAGCTTCCCAGAGCCGCTTCCGGGACTGAGCACGTGCCTCGGCGTAACCAGGGCAACCGCGAGCCCCGCCCCCCCCGCGCTCCCTCTTTGGCCCGCCGGGGCCCGCCTTCAGCGCCGACGGACGACGCAGCCAATGGGCTTTTCGGAGTTTGCCCTCTAGCGAATGGGAGGCCGAGCTTTTTTCGGCCTCGGCCAATGAGAGAGCGGATGGTGTCCTCAGCGACCTACGGTAACATCTGTTCCCACTCCCTAACGGGGTCTCTGGGAGGGGCTGGACGACTAGGACCAGAGGAGGGGAAGCAGCGGACTGGGCGTGAGTGGAACGGGGTCCTGCACGCTGGTCCTGGCAGATGTGGAAGAGACCGTCTATACTGTCTTCGCCTGCTTGCGCATCATTTCCCTCCTGGAGTCGTAATGCAGCAAGCTCTTACTGAGCACCTGTTTTTTAATTTTATTATTGTTACTGTTATTGTAATTACCAGTCACTCTAGTAGGCACTGTGGGTGAGACCAGGACGACTCAAACAGTCCCCAGCATTCAAACTTAGTGCTCAATAACCCTAGGTTTGTCCTAGTGAGAACTAGAACAAGTCACTTCCTCTCTGAGCCTCAGTTTCTGTCTGTATGATGACTCTGTGATCCTCCCAGCTGTTCTTCCAGGTTTGCCTGTTGCTGGGAAGCTCACGTAGGTTCATGGAATAAAGCTTATCGAGCAGACTGTAAAAAGTTCACGCACTAGTTTTCTTTTTAGTATGTAACCTCAGCCCCTTTTACTGCCCTATGATTTATTTGTGTGGATTCTGAGCTCCCGGAAGGCAGAGACTTGGTTTACTTAGGAAGCCCATCTGGGAAATAACATTAAGCCAGCCACAGTGGGGATTCAGAGTCTGGGGCAGGGCACTACCGGGGCAATTGGGGCAAGATGGGGAGGGGTATTGAAGCTAAGGGAAGCCCTCTTCTAGAATGAGGAGACATTTACTGAGGTAAGAAGTAGTTTGGTGGGAGCCCGGGGATCAGCATCTGGGCTGAGAACTGGAAAGGGACAGTGGCTGGAGAAAGTCTGAGGCTATAGCTGGACACACCCCCATCCCACCCCAGCCTACCCCCTCCCTCAGTCTGCCTGTTGGGGAAGGAGCAGGCCCTGTGGGGATGGTGGATAGATTCATCCCCAGAAATTATGGGACAACCTCCCCGGGAAAGAATCCAAAAAAGGGGTGGGAGAATCTTCTTACAGGCTGGTGAGAGATGAGCAGGGGAGGAGATAGCGAGGGTTTTCATGGAACAGCAGCTGAGAGGGCACAGAGCCTCAAGGAAGCTAGAGGTGTCACTGATACCGCGTGTGTGTGGGGATGTTAGAACATATTTCTCCACCACCACAGGGAGAAGGAAGACTAAGGGAGCACCATTAATCCAGTAGACTGTCCTGTGCTGCCAAGAGGACATCTAGATTCACGTGAAAATGCCCAGAGATTCTGGAACTGATTACTAGAGAGGAATCCCTGGGAAAGGCTGGATTTCCAGCCGGTGCTGAAGACTAGGGGACACACGGGTTACCCTCCATTGTGGGAGCCTCATATTCTATCAGTGTAAGAACTCTCTTTAGGAAACAAAACAAAACAAAAACCTCTTTAGTGCCTGCCTCAGAGGTGATGCTCAATGAATATTTGTCAAATGCATAATGACCCTTGATTGATCAATAACATGTAAGTTTGGAATTACCATCTATACTCTTGGTATTGGACATGATCCCGTTACCCTGGGATCCTTCTGTCACTTCTGTCGAGTCTGTACAAGACTTCACACAGGTGCAGCACCTCACCTTCCTGGGTTTCTGGGTTCCTAGCCCTGACCTCTCACGGAGGTTAGCCACATGAGGAGACAGGGAGGGGGCCTCGCCCCATGTCTGGCTGTGGGGAAAGGAGACAGAAGTGGGACAGCGTCCTCCCCAACCACCAACCCCACTCTGAAATTCCCAGGGTCTCACCCTCAGGAAGCCCTCTTCCTCAAGGGAGCCTTCCCAGATTTCTGCCTCCTCTAAATCTGCCAAATTCTCTCCTCCCAGAGCAGATATGAATTAAAATATTGTTCATTTGCTTGTGTCATTTCAGCTCTCCTTTAATTGTTCTCAGTTATCTGCACCTTAAATGTCCCAGTGCCTGGGCATCACCACCCTCAAGGGGCTCTGGGTCTGATGGGAGAGACACAGCCTTTTCCCTCAGAAAGCCCTCCGTCTGAGGGGGGAGACATATTCCAGTCCCCAGGACGCTCCAGTCCGCAGGAGGAGGCAGGTCACATACAAAAATGCTCCAAGGCTTGAGCCAGGAATACTGAGGGAACGTCCTGAGCGTCAGGCCCACGCTCGGTCTGTAGAGAGCATCCCCTCCTCCCAGACTGGGCTTCTGGGATCCGGACCCGGACGGCGGGTGTGAGCCCCGCGGCCGTCCCGGGGCTGCAGCGCCGGCGCGGGGGACGGGCTGAGCCCTCGGCCTATGGTCCCTCCATCATTGCGGCGAAGCCAGTCGGTGGGGCCTGAGGGCTCTCCTGCGGGCGGAGGCTGCGGGAGGAGAAGATGCTCCGCCCGCGTGGCCCTGGGGGGCGCGGGGAGCCCGGGGTCCCGCGGGCCAGGCGCCCGGGCCGGGTCCCCCCGCTTGGCGGGCAGGGCGCGGAGGCGGCTGCAGGTCAGGAGCACATCAAAGAGCAGCAGCTTGAAGAGCAGCAGCCGCAGCGCCACCAGCCTCAGCGCCTGGCCCGCCGTCCCTGCCGGGGAGGGAAGGAGCGGGTTAGGGGCCCGGAGGCCGGCCCTCAGCCCCACCCGCAGGAGACTGTTCTCCAGAGCAGAAGTGCCTTGTCCTCTGCCCTTGCCATCCCTCCTCCCTTTGGCCTCTTCCCCCCCCCCCCCCAGCAATCTGAGGAAAGTCTAACCTCAGCACTTACTGGTAATAATAACAGATACCTTCCTAGCCTTCATTTTATTTTATTCCCCAACAACCAGAGGGATGTAGGCCAGACAGGAATTAGCAACCGAGGCAGAGGAGAGTAACCAGCTCTAAATTCTCTGTTTGGTCAGGAGGTAGAACCCGACTCATGACTGTCTAGCAGGGAGTGAGACTTGGGGCAGTTTCCTAAGGCTCCCAAGAGTCTCCCAAGGCTCTGATGCTGAGACCATCCATCTGGGCTGCTCAAGGAGAGCTTCAAGGGCCCTTCTGTTAGCTCTCACCTGCACTTCTCAACTGTGTGCAGGAATTAGGCTGGGGTCAGAGGATCTCTCCCCATCTTACCCACTGGTGGACGGGGACCCACGCTAGCCAGTGACCCAGCCCAGCAAGGCAACCTCTTCAGGGGACACCCACCAACCCCTAGTGGAACCCATCAGGCCAGAGCCCAATATAGCCTAAGGTCCTGGTCCCCAGTACTCACCCCTAAGAGGATCCTGGAGGCAGATCCTGGCTGAAGAAGCCTCTCCTGCCAGCCAAGGAGAAAGAAGTGAGTCCTTTGGGATGGGCCGTGCCTTCCACCCGAGTGCTATGCCCCGGCCCTGGCACAGGGCAGCTGTTCATGGCATGTTGGATAAATGGACAAATGAACCAGCAGCAGGAACCTGACCCATGTGCTGCAGGTCCTGGGAGGGGCCCAGATCTCCCTCACTCCTTGCTGTCCCCTGTTCTGTGCCCCGGGGAGGCTGAGGTGCCTTTCAGACAAGGAATCGGTTTTCTTTTTTCTTTCTTTCTTTTTTTTTTTCGGTGAGGAAGATTCGCCCTGAGCTAACATCTGTGTCAGTCTTCCTCTATTTTGTATGTGGGATGCTGCCACAGCATAGCTTGATGAGCAGTGTGTAGGTCTGCACCCAGGATCCGAACTCACAAACCCCATGCCGCCGAAGTGGAGCGTGTGAACTTAACCACTGCACCACTGGGCCAGCCCTAGAAATCGGTTTTCTTAGCGGCCTTCTTTGGAAGGCAAGGCATTTATTCCATAAACATTCCCATTGGGAAGATGACAAAATTAACATAATCCAAAAAGAAGTAAGTCTTTAAGTAAGTCAGTAATAATAATAGCTGGATTTGGACATGTTACTTAACCTCTCTGTGCCTATAAAATGAGGAAAATAATATGACCTACTTCATAAATGTAAAGTGCTTACAACAGTGCCTGGCAACAAGGAAGTGATAGTAATTTATTATTTAATTATTGTTTGGTTCTAATAGGTAAGGTGTCATATATAGGGTGATATATATAGATACAGATATTAACCCTAAGTATATATAGAGAGATAATAACCCTAGGTAATAGGGTTAATATGTATATATGAGCTCAACCCTAGGAGAGAGGAGACATTATTACCTCTTGGAGTCATGCATCAGAGCCTGGATTTGAATGAGATATCACAGTTGCAAATCCCAGGACTCAGAGCCCTGAGGCCACTTGCTGTGAGCTCAGGCACCACTTCCCCTAGATGGTCAGTACTTGGACCCCCTTCATGCCCCCAGGCCTGGAGCCTGCCCTCCATCCCACCATATCCCGGTTCCAGGGTGTGTGAAAGGGCCGGGAGCATCCACAGGGGCTCAGGCTCCATCCTCACCTGACAGCTGTAGGGGCTGTGTGCTCCGGCTGTGGTCCCCAGCCCCAGGCCCGGTGTGGCAGACCAAGGTCTCCCAGGCTGCCAGCTCCTCAGAGGGCAGGGAGAGCTGGGCCAAGCTGGTCCAGGTGCCATCTTCGGCTGGGGAAGGGCCATAGGTGAAGGCGTCCAGTGTGCTGCCATTGCCAGCTGAGAACCAGATGGGGCTTTCAAGGCCAGGGGGCGCAGCATCAAGGACCAGGCAGACCACCAGTGTCTGCTGCTTCCCATCTACCAGCAGTGTGATTGGCGGGGCCAGGGAGGGGAAGGGTGTGCCACCCACACCTGCAAGAGAACACGCACTTGCTGGGGGGTAGATCTTCCGTGCCCTCCCAGGCCAGCATCTCATTGTAGGCTTCTATCTTTGCATCTGAGTTTCTATCCTTCCATCTGCCCTTCTACCATCCATCTATCTATTCTT